TTATTTATCCTAACTGCAATAGTCATCAAAGTGTAGGGCATTGTAAAGTGATACACTATGTTTACATCACATACATATATTACCCGTACACACACATACAGAATTTACTCGCCAAAATGCAGGGCACCATCAGTTCTGGATACGGATTGAGCATTTTTTCAATATGGATGACTGAGGTCATCTGCGAGCATAATGCTGTCACCTATCAGAATTTTTTCAAACTAATTTTCCGGAGAATATCATCTGGAATACAAGATTTCTAATTATTTCTAAATTATTCAATTTTATACTATGAATTGATTTTTTTAACATTCAGACAGGTGGCAAGGACTGACGCAAACACGAATTTTGGGCGAAAAACGTATAAAAATGAAATAATTAGTGATTTTTCATCTGAATGATGTGGCCGCCATCTTGAAATTTAAGCGCGGCAAGTCAATTCATAATTTTTTCATTATTCTTTCTAATTTTTTTAATAAAAATATTCACTATATACAAAAAATTGTTGTTTACGTCAGTCCGGCATTAATTCCTCTGTAATTTGGTACCTAATTTTATAGAAATAATTGTAAATTGGCGAAGAAATTAGAAATTCCCCGATCCCATGTATTTGGATAGGGGGAATCAGTCGCCTTTCTGACTTCAGCCCAGCCTTAAATGTAACAGGCGTGACTGCCAAAGATGGCGAATCCTCAACAGGATCATTACCTTCTTCAGAATTCTCAAGGATATCATTGGCTCTGTCCCAGTCATTTGAAATACATCGAACAAAGAAACCTCTGTTTCAGTCTTTGATAGTTGTAGAGCCTCATATGGACAATACGCGAAGCATTATATAAAATGTTTGGGTAATACAATCCCTACTGGAAGGTACGCCCGAAGAGAAAACAATAATTGACAGACATAACTTTAGTAGTTTCCCGCATCAAGATCACATTTAAATCGAATTGTTAATTTGATTTTGTTGTCTTCAACTCCCTCTCTTCTTACCTCTTTCAGACGATTGTGATGTGGAACTAGAGTAGCGTCTGTCATATTTCCTCAGTTCTTTTGTAAGTTTTTGGATCTTTCTCCTGATATGCTCCTTACGTTCCTTGGATTTGTGTTTTCTTTTTCCCATGATAAATACCAAATTTACAAAATTATTGAAGATATGGCAAGTTTTTGCTAACAATTATTAGCATGTGCGTTCTCTTGAGCGCAGAAACGTAGAATGAGTCATGATGATGTTAATGGGTGATAGACTGGTACATACAGGTCCCGCTAGAGCCAGAAGTTTCTTTTTTGGTAACTATTCTTTGAAAAAGTTGTACAAGTAACGCATAAAAGCGTACTACAATACGTAAAAATTAGTAAATGGCATCGAATAAAGCTGTAAAGCATAACGGTAGGTGGTAAATATTCTTTGCAAGGTTGCCTGACGTAATTAAGTGGTTGTAATGTAATTGCTCGTCGAGCTATATTTTGACAAAATGTTAATATATTGAGAATTGCTAAAAATACACTGCACGCTCGAAGAGCGCGCAGTCTCAGGTCAACAACGTAAGAAATTATTTGATTTTTATTCATTTTTTATTTTATCCTATTGTCTTTTTAATTATTGTTTTTCGGTATTTATTACGTTAATTAAAAAATTTTTTTTTTGTTATTATCATTAAATTGTGATCTCTATAATCATATAAAATAAAATATTATAAATCTTACTAATATTTACATGAACGTTTTTTGCAATTGTGTTTCTGTGTCTGACAGTAAGTCGTGGGTCTTCATAGATAAAATAGAATTATTATGGTATTAAACCAAGTGTTATAAGAAAGAAAAAAGAAGTGCGTAAGCATGTGTTTTCGATCTTTACCGATTAACAGCGAATAAGTAAAGATCTCGAAAAAAAAGAAAGTCTCAACACTTCAAACATATGTCTAGTACTAAATAAGCAAATGTGATAAAACCAATACATGAATAAAGATTGAATGCATTTATTTCCACACCACACCAGAGGTAGAATGCAAGGCGCGTTTTTTTTTACATGGTATCTCCTGTAGACCTAATCCATAAATCTGCGACTCAATTACCTGTTCATGTACACAATTCAATAAGTAGACAAAGTCGATTGACTAACTGCAACGAACACTATCTTCTAGTCAATTACGTATCCTCTGCCACAAGGATAATGACCTGCTGCAACGTAGTTTTAAAACACCACACTTACACAATATCCTGAAAGAGTTGTCCATTCCTCCCTTGAAGTCTGCAACTCAATCTAATAAAACTGACGCCTCTGTCTATTATTATGGGTTTTTCCTTGATGATGATGTACTGCTAAAAGTCACTTTAAAAACTTGTTATAATTGAACTCAGCTTACCAGCATCTGCACCACTTAATATCACTAAAAAACTGTCAACACTTTCATAATACTACATTTTTACTCTAACCCGATAGAGTTGACAATTTTTCTCTCGAAGTCTGCAACTCAATCTAATAAAACTGACCCCTTCGTTTATTGATGATTAGCACCAATGTGTCGATTCTTCTGATGATGGTGATGTTTTTTTTCTATCACACGTCAGACAGGACCTGGAAATCTGTTTCATAACATCTTTAACAATTAAAACATACAAATACTTCTGAACCATTATTCTAAACTAACTTGAGTAATTAGAGCCTCTGTTAAATACTTAATTAACTTTAGATGGGAATCAGAAAATTAAAAACCAACTATCTAATGGTACATTTAATTCATTTTGATTCATTCTGCTACAATGTTGAAATTATTCTAAACTTCACTGATGTTTCTCTATTTTTCAATTGTGGACATTCGTCCCACCAGATTATTTACATGTATAATTCTCTAACTATTATTCTCTCTTTAGTCTTGCATATTATCCAATAAAAAAAACTTGACATTTTACTGCTGCCTATCTGAATATTTAACTGTACACTGTTTTACTACCAAAGTACTGTCATTATACGTTGTATCTAATGAACACACTGAGATAAGTTATTATTTACTAATAGAAGTCATTAACGATCCACATGAAGAGATGATCACTGCACAAATCACTAAAACTTACTGCCTAAAAGCGTTTTGGCAAGGCTTCTTATACCGTCACCCGGCAGTGGAGAGGATTTTGAGATGGAAATCCATTGGTGAAAATTAGCAAGAGTAGGGGCTGCAGGTACAGTGAACCCAATCATTCAGGAGCCCCAAATTTACAATAGAAAAATTTGATCAATGGGCTTCGAGGACTGGGGGATTGATTCCAAACTGGTGGAAATTAGTGAGGGAGGGAGGATGAGGTGGAGGGGACCCCATAATTGGTGAGTCCCAACATCTTCATAGAGGGGTGTTGGTGTACGTAGGGGAGGCTACGTTGGAAGGGGTAGTATTGCTTTGTCAAGGAATCTTCAGAAGATCGAAAAGTGGAAAAGATTATAGAAATTTAGATGAATGTATATTGATTTATATTTTTCAAAACAACGTCAATTTTTTAATTGTTTATGAAAATTACTTAATAGAATTAAATTTCATCATTCTCGATTATTCGTTTCCTGAATACTTTTTGTACTTACAATTTTATTTACTAGGGTGTTTACTCAAAAATCTAAATTGAAATTCATTAAGTGTTAATTTTAAAATAAACCGAATCCATATGCTCATACACTATGTTAAGTATTTGAGGATCTGAGACTTTTAATAAAATTAAATTTCATTCTTAATTTGATTATTAGCATCCACCTCTAATTGTACCCGATCTAATTAATAGTTAATTCCAAATCATTGTATATTATCAACTATTTCCCGTTTTAGAGATATTGTAGTCATGTCCGATGATTACTAACTAACACATCAATTTTTTTGTATTAATTGCTTTGAATTGTTTATAAATATTTGATAATTATTCATTTTTTATCTATTACATAACAATAAAATATAGATAATCATCTTTGTCTCTTCTTTATCCACTGCTGGATTTGCAAAATCACTAAAAATTAGAAAAAATATATGTTTTTCAGGGAAACATGTTTAACATTGTTTCAATAATAATTTCTAGAGATTCATTTCCAGCATTTTACTCAATTACTGAATAAACTTTTCTATCTCATTAATAAATCTGTAGAAATATGATCGTCAATTAATTCTACTTCATCTGTTGAATTATTCAGATCACCAGAAACTCAACTAAAAATTTATTTTTGCTAGTTTAAGGTAAATAAGGTAATTTACAATAACAATTCTTAATAATTCAAATTAAAAATATTTTAAATTATTGCATTAGTAGGGTACTCAAACTTCCTTACTGTGGATGACAGGTATTTGGAATACGATTAGCAAATAGTCACGTTCGAACATGTGTCCTAGAAGAGAAATGCAGGTATGCAGGTAAAAGATGAACTCGCAGAAGGGTCGCGATAATATTCATTTCCATTCAATAAGTGCAATAAATTTTTCTGGCGTCTGAAGGATTATGAAGGTGCCAGGGTAACCCTGAGCAATTACCAGAACTTTGGGTAGTACCTTTGGTAATTTTTATAACCATAATTCGTGGGTAACTAAACCAGAATCTGATGACCAGTTATTTAATGGTCACATATTTCTACTTGATAAGTAATGAACGTAAATCCTCTATGCCTATTATTGAATATTATCCAGGTTGCATCTTCAACTTAGCTCACAACAATAAACATTTAAATACTTCATTGTCATGGCAAAAGATATTGGATTATCCTGAACTTATTATTCGAGAAATGAGTTTTCAAATATATTTGTAATATGCAAGGGTTCTAAAACAGTTCTAAAAATTAGTTATATACTACTCTTTACAAATTAAACAATAATGATAATTTAATTGACTTCAAAATAACTTGTAGCATGAAGTATAACGATAAACAGCAAAACATCATCAAATAACTTATTAATTATATTAAATGAAGTAATAAATAAAACTGATCTTCATGAAATTTGCAAAAAATGGAAATGATGGTGGATTTTTTGTTTTAGATATTCGATTATGATTCAATGATCCCATTTAGACCAGTCATTGAGCCAAATCATCCAGGGGCATTTTTGAACGAAGAGCTTGCTCAATCCTTCAAGAATGGAAATATGGCTGATATTCCTTGGATAACAGGATACAATTCTCATGAAGGAGCTATCAAAGTAGCAGGTAGATATCTATTTTCTTTCAAATATTATATTAAATTAAAATTGTCTTTGCTAGACTTTTTTCTAATTATCATTAGCCAAAGAGTTTTAAAAATAAACAAGACTAATCCTTCATGCTATGTCTGATTAACAAAAAATCTATAGAACATGTTTGGATACTTATTATTGTCTATTTTACAATTAAAATAATGTTAATACTCAAAATAACTTTTCAAGTATTCACGATAAATCGTCAATAAATAATTAACTGATGATATTGTAAACTCAATTATGTAAATGAATACTGTGCATAATTTTATCATTCATTATTGTAATAGGTCTTTATGGTCTCAAAGAATATCAGTATGACAAGAAATTGAACGACAACTTCATGGAGTTAGCTCCTATCACTCTGATGTATAAAGACACTGGTCCAAAAAAATCACTCAAAGATGTAGCTAACAGATAAATCTACCAAATTTGGAGTCATTGACGTAAGTGGAGATTTAAATAGTAATAAGTTGTGAGAAGAGAATAATTGATTTATTAACACGTGCTGATGATATGATAATAAGTTTTTAATCAATTCAGATGTATTCAGACGCTTGGTTTAATGTTGCTGAAGACATGACAGTCAGAGATCATCTGAATGCCCTTTCAAGTCCAGTCTACTATTATTATTTCTCCTACAAAGGAAGTGCATCATTCTCTAGGATATTCGGAGTACCACAAGGAGATTATGGAGTTTCTCATGCAGATAAATTTCAATATCTTTTCCCAGTCGGTGAACAGTTATTCAAAGTCACTACACTGAGTAAAGAAGATCATCGGATGATTGACATCATGACTACTTTATGGTTCAATTTTGCAAAAACTGGGTAACTTGATTACTGCAATTGAACAAAAATTTTTATATTTGAAGATTTATTCCTTTTCATAGTACTTTTTTATTTATTCCTTTCAGAAATCCTACACCTGCTATTACAAAAATAATACCATTAAAATGGAAACATGTGAAAACAGAAGATCACGAATATCTTGATATTTCGAATTCACAAGATTTAAGCATGTCGAAACATTTATTGAAAGAGAGGTTCGAATTTTGGGCAATATTACCCTATCTAACTGATGTAATTATTGCACAAAAAACTTCTCTCAATGATGAACTCTAAAACAATCAGTTTAAGTTAATTTATAGATTAATTGAATCAAATTTCTTTTCTATTGTAACTATCTAATATCGATTATATTACTGAGATAGTTGAAGCATGTTGTAAATTATTAGAAATTTAATTTGCCATAATACTGCCATTATTGAATGAAGAAAACGCATAATACAGAACATGCTACAAAGCCAAGTTGTAATGGATTAAAACCGAATGAGTGCATGAATGAAATTATCCTTTTACTAAGCAAAATTAATTGAAGCTCATAACGTCATAAAAGATATGTGACAAAGTACAACGGAATAGAAAATTTAAAACAAACCCCGCAGGATTATGTACAGTCGAAGTTCGGTAGTGTTGACAGGATGATTTCGCTAGTGTTACCCGTCTTTCGCCCCACTCCGATCTCTCTAATAACCACTGAAATCTTGCGTGAGTAGCGCGTATTTTGAATTCAATTGACACTATAGTTAACATATATGTTAAATACAGGTTATGTATCCTTGCTCTTTTTTTATTTTTTGCGCATTCTTATGCGCAATAAGGAGTATAGGTTCACGAGTAGTAGGGATATGGGGGAATGACAACACTAACGAATGATCCTGGACGGACATTTCAACACTAACGAGCTTCGACTGTATTAAATTTTCCTTTTGCGCTGAAAACACATGAAGATTTGCGTTTACATATAAACTTTCAATTGTTAACAAACGCGAAACACTCTCTAATAAAAGAAAAGATAAAAAATAATCAATCTAAATAAAATTCAAAGTAAAATTTAAATAATTGTATGTTCAAAATGAATCACATCAGTAGTAACTCGAACATGAAACCAGATAAAATATTTATCAAAATGCAGAACAAAGCAGTATAACCTCTTTATTGGTCTGCACCGAAAGGCTGTCAGATATTTGATTTACATAGTCAACATTACGATGATGTATTGTGTTTGATAAAGGTAATAATAAAATAATCAGAGCTATAGAAACTTAAGTTTAAATAGAATAACATAGTATGACACTTCTGCTCTTAGAATGTCAACTGGATTGAAATATCTTATACAATGAATTATCAATATTAAATAGAATAAATAAGCCAATCAATCAATATTTTTTAATAATCTATCTGTTAAAATTTTTACCATTATTGTCCAATGTATATTGAAAATAAATATTATAAAAATATATATAGTACCATTACTTTACAGAAGATCCTATGTGTAAAGCTATCAATTTTCACAGAGATGATGTATCAGTTCAAAATTATATGGACCAAATTCGTGTATGGATGAAAGATACAAGTCTAGTTGCTATTAGTTCTAGATCAGGACGAGTAGTGGGTACTGTGATTGCAAGAATTAACAGTACTATGGATAAGAGTACGACATATTCTCGAATTCAAGTTTGTATATTTACATAATTAATTAATATTCAATCTCAATCAGTAAATAATTTAGTTGTTAATTTAATTAAAAAAAAATTTTTATATTTTTAAAGATTATGCAAGGAGAGTCTTTCGAAAAAATAATGAGCTTGAAGAATAATTTAATTAAACAAGCTGATGTTTTTAATCAGCTGAATTGCGATATAATTTTTCGTATTTATATTTTATGTGTTTATCCAACGTATCAGAATCGAGATTTAAAATCTGCTTTAATAGAAGCTTGCGTTCAAATAGTAATTGCCTCAGAAATTCCTGTCATCGCTGGAATGTTTTCGTCCAGTGATCATCGAAGTTTAGCTGAGAAGCTAGGATTAAAAAAAATTTCAGTGGATTGTGAATAATGAGATTATTTTTGATAATCCAGGCATCAAAAATTACTCAGTAGCTTTCATGGGAATGGAAACACCTTCTTTAGATTATTTGATGAATTTACGCCAAGTTAAAGAAAAAGAAATATACGAGAAAGAGGAAAAACGCAGACAAAGCTATCAACATAGAAAGTTATCTATAAAAGAATAAATAATTTATAAGGATGACTTACAGTAAGCTAGTTGATACACCTCTTCCATTGTCTCAAGCAATTGATTTCCTTTGTAGAATTGAAACGTATTCTCTTTGTACCTGAGCAACAAAAATTAAATTAATACTTGAAAGAGTAAAGCAATGAACAGAAAATGTATGACAATATTACAATTTTATTGGAATATTACTCTATGATGATATGCAAAATTATTTTTCTATGAGCTAACATATTTTTGGTAAAAAAAAAATCATGATACAATGTAAGGATGTCTTAAAAAGTACTATCCATGTACAGTAAATTAGTATGTGGACATATTAATTTCTTTTAATTAATATGCATCCATTTGAAATAATTCTAACTTATGGCACATTTCAACACGTTACATACTTACTAAAGTTAATGGTTATTTAACTAATAATTTCGACCAATATCACAAAAACTTTTTGCACTTGATGATAATTATAATCATTGATTGTATGAGTATGTTTTTTACACTACGCATACATTTTATTTTATTGATGCTACTGAATAAATAATTTATATAATAATGCTGTTCAATAAAATTCAGTCAAACAAGTGATTCTAGAAAACACATGAGAATGGACAACGATAAATCTCTTGTAAATGAAACGAAGAAAAGTATTTTCTATCAATTTTCTCTTTAACTCAATAATTTACAATAAATATCTTCAATAATAGATTATTTTAATGCTATTAAACTTTTAAAAACTAAATAAAAGATACCTCGTTGTTAAAATTAATTCTAACGTCAAATGAAATGTGCTCTTCAAGTCCTGTTGGTCGCTATTACGCATGCGTGAACGTAGTCGTTCGACACGAACGCCGGTGTATTCGACTGAAGGTATTTCTCAGAATTGAATGTCGAGTGTCGGTCTAGTTGAACATGACAACAAAATACATATCAGCCGATCTCTAGAGAATAAAATAATAATAAAAACAAGGTAAGTAAATTCAACAAGAGGATAAATATGCAGAAATTATTGTTGGTCAACATTTAAACTTTCTTTATCGTGCTTCTGTTATCTTATCTTCATATTAAAATGGTGAATGCTACAGATTCAATCAATAGTTTGCTAATATTTCTGCTGTAGAAAAGTTATCCATATCAGTTGTCATTTTGACGCTGAATATTCGATAAATTTAAACAAAATATTTATCAAAATAATTCGGAACGTAAGTAATCTTTGAAATTTTTCCATTATTTTACTTCAAAGTTTTAAGAAAAAACTTATTCAGTTATTACATTTTGTTATAGAATGACATTTAAATAAATAAAATTTACTAAGATGAAATAAATATGTTTTCACGTAAGTAACGTATTATGGCGATGTCGATTTCGCAACAGGTAGAGGGGAAGGTAGCATGAGAAACAAATTAACCATAACTGATCAGTATTATGCATATAACATACTCGATTGTACATTTTTTAATATTTATTATTCAAAATAATTCTAAGTGTAAAAAATCATACATTATTTTTTAACGCATTAAAATTACTGTTTGCTGTCCATGTAAAAATGTCAAATGTAGTCGAAAAATGTGAACTCGAATTTCAATGTTCGAAAGCCTCCATGATTAAAATTAATTTTGTCCTGTTTGTTGAGTAAAGTGCAAAAGATATTATCAATGAAAGCTAAAATGGTAATTTATTTGCAACAAAAAATGATTTTCTTTCATGTTGAAATTTACAGGTAGGAAGTTTCTAGGAGAGTTACAAAGATGGCGTAAGTGATAGATTTCTAGAACAGTCGGCAGAGTGCGGGAAGGCAACATGCGTGCGCACAGGATGAAAGCATGCGCGAGGCTTCAAGTAAGACACGTCCAGTCAGTGCATGGCGGTCCGAGGCTCTTTGAACATATCTCTGTATGAGATTGTCTCACGTGATACATCGCGTTTATTGAGTGTACCTCACGTAGCAGTTGATTTATCATTTATTACCTACCGCTCTAAATTATATACAAAAAAACAATTAATTGTCAAGTGATTATTATCGTTTTATTTAGTGACAGTGTCGTCATCTCAAATTACTTAACACACGAGATCATAGGAATTAATTCTGCTTCACTCCGGTGAGTTCAAAATTTTATTTATCTTTCTCTTTTTTTTCTACTTGTGTATTCGTTCCGCGAGAAGATTGAAACGCCTCCGGCAAGGTAAACAATCGTTTTCTTTTTTTTTTCCAATGAAAAAGTTTCTCAAATTTTTCAAGCTAAAATTCAATGCCGATAAATGTGCAAAATGATTGATAAGTCAGAAAACAATAAAAATTTTTCCATGAATTTTTTTCCACTACCAATATTATTATATGACATAAGATACAAATTCTGATTCATTCATTCATTCCACACCATTTAATTCAATTGCAAATGCAAAAAATACTGTGAATGAAGATTTGTTTTTCATTCAAGTAATTTAATACTTTTAAAAGCTTTTGTGCGGGATAACAACTATTCGATGCAAAGCCCATGATGTTGTCAATAAATGATTTGAAGCCGAACGACAATTAGTGCAGTTTTAATTGGAGTTTACTATGTCTATAGTAGGTTCCTTCGGCTGAGTTATAACAATGCAAACGTATTTATTCGTAGCAGCTAAGTATATTGGATAACAAATCGCGTCTGTATGTCATCAAATTGCTTCGTATGTCAAAACAATGTTTCTCAGTTGATGTACCTCTATTGTATCAACCATCACATTGACTCTGGTTCGGTGTTCGTATGTTTGGTGATACGAAATTGATATTTAATCCTCAGTTTTTCATCTTCAAGCTTCCAAAATATAAATCACTCGAGTTGTGTGCTGAAATTACAGTGAAGTATCATCATAATTCACTTTCGCGAAGCCGTTTTTTTTTCGTGTTATCCATTGTTCTTATCAGGTATGTAATCTATACCACCTCGATAATGCGTAATGACACATTTTGTTCCCTTCTCATTGTTGTCGTTATGATCATTTTTTTTTGTTGGTATTGTAGTAAAATAAAGGCCGAAATTGTAATTGACTACTTGTGAGCATTATCTGCAACAGTGAATCAAGTAAAATTACAATCGTATCAAGCAATCGATTTAACTAATTAGCGTGACACGTTTCTACCTTTCTCACGCCAATCTTCTTTTAGACAGTCGTGACTTTCATGCTCGTAGTCTTACGGATTTGCATTTTCTATTGAATTATCATGATCACATGCTGGTAGAATATCATAGAGTTAAAGAAGCTGTCGATTGGAATAAATAATATTGATTTTAAAAAAATTTTCTTGTACAAGCATCAAAGCTAAAGATATTCATTAGTTACTTGAGGACTTCTAATTTATGTTCCGGTTTCGTTTTAACTGTATACTAATCATTGGATAATTATTCATCAATGAATAAATTTAAAATTAGCCAGCGGGTTATTTCTCGTTTATAAAAGGAATGAGGTATCAGTGATTGCGGAATTTATTGACATCAGTTTTAACTGTGCAATGATATTAGTTATTATAATCATTTTTCTCTAAACTTTTATTTAATTTAAAATTACGTCTGTACATGAAGGAAATTGATCATAAACACTTTAAAAATATGTTTGTATAAATCTTAATGTAATTATATGTTCTAAAGAATAATAATTAACGAAAATAAAGAGTGGTCGGAGATAGGCTAGTTTACGCTAATGACATTTTGTTAAATTTTCTAGATAATAATAGAATTTTTAAGTATCTAAACACAAAATAAGTTGAATTGTACAAAATACAGTACACGGAAGAATAGTGTACTCTACCATATCATAATAGTGATCATTTTTTTACTTAAAAAAATGATCACTATTATGTCTGACAGATTTTCAAATCAATTTCTTACTTCATCGTTAAACATTGTATATTTCATTGTGATATATCAAATGATATATTTTATTCACTTCAAAATATACATCTTTGTCACTAATAAATGGTTTTAAATGTAAAAAAAAATTTTTTAGACAATTGAAGCTCGAGGCTTAATAGTACATTTTCTCTGAGGAAGGTTTTTTTTCTAAGTATAGTCTATGAGTAATGTCTTAGTTTAGAAAGTATGACCAAGCTAATTGCAAGGTTTTCTGAACGTAATTCTTAATTAAGAATCTAAATTTATTGCAATAAATCAATATTAAATAATTATTCATCGTTAAACATACAGATGGATTAACTAAATATCTATTTATCTTCGGAAATGATACAAAACTCATCATCAATCATACATTTTTATTGCTTCCTTCTATTGAATATTTATTTATCATATAACTGTTGTACTTTATTATATAATAGTATATAGTAAATTTATTGTATATATTGGAATTAAAAATCTATTGCTAAAATAATCGTAAAATTATATCTAAAAAAGTAATAATTGGATTGAAAAAAAAATTACTTTAGACTTTTGAAACACCAATTTAACGTAAATAGGCGACTAATTAGGCATGTCTGGATAGAATAATTATTTCTTCATCAAAAAAGAATGCATTAAGCTGTTAGCAATGTCCAATTAAAAGTTGTCAGGTGTCGAACTTTTGAATGGTCGTTGAACTGTTGACAAAGCCGTCGCAAAAATAATTTCATTAATGGCAAATGAAAACAATGCCTGTATGAGAAATGATGTGCTGAAAATTTTAGATTCTACTACAATTTTTGTTTTTACTTAATGTTAATTTAACTTAACTTCATTTATTTTATCTTACCAAGTTCCTAGTGATTGAACAAAATTAATATAATCATTCAATAAATGTTGAAATACATTTAAATATTCAATAAAAAAAATATTTAGGATATTTTGTTCAATTAAATCTATTACATTTTTATTTTCTTTCTTCAATCTGTCGAACTTCATTAATATTTACATGGCAAAAATGTTTTGCATATTTTATCGGATATTTTTTCTCAATATCCTGAAACTTTTAGTAATACAAATTGACATTGAGTGTCTGACAAAGCTGTGGTAAGAGTGTAAATGAGAAACAAAAATATTTCTTTCCACCAAAATAAAAAAAAAAATAACAAAACAAACCTTTAAAAAGAATATTTCGTTCGAAATTTCATCTTCAACGGTATATCGACGTTAAATGAATATCGAAGTATACGTTAAAGACTTTTTTTCAATATTTCTTTGAATACTCGTAATGTAATTATTCAGTTTGAGGATAACAGACTGGTGTGTCGAAATGGTTGTCTGTTCTATTAATAGGGTCGACAGTGCTCGGATGCAATGAGTAAAAGAGAAACTTGGAGAATGGAATATGAAATAAAAGCTAAACATAGTATTGAATGTAGAATACAAGTGACAAGTGAAGGAGAATGGCAAACGTATGCTTTAGCTTTAAGTGTACGCGTGGACTTGTCGCACGTGGATGCGTTTGGAACAGAATCAGGAGGGGAAACATGTACCCCTTTTTCTCGCGGCTTACCGCCCAGACAGAAA